AGTATATTCAGAAACTGCTTATGACAGGGACCAACCCTGCAGAAACAAAGGATTGAAGAGACTTAAATAGTCTCTTGCAAAGAGAGGGCCAGATTTATATGCCTGTGAATGAGTTTCTATGTATAGAACTTATCAAAAGACATCATGACTCTTCTCTAACAGATCATTTTACAGATACTAGAACTCATGAGCTGCTTGCAAGAAAATACTTCTGACTGAAGATGCAAGGACTTGTGAAGAAGATAGTGAATTCTTGTACTGTTTATCAGGATTTGCAGGTAGTGCAGTCCAGGTCATATGAAGAACTTACTTCTCTACTCATCTCACAGAAACCTTGAAAACAGCTAGAAATGAATACTCTTGTGAGCCTCTCTGAAAGCAAGAACATATATGATGCCTGCTTTGACAGTGTGCTGGTGATAGTGAATCACTTCATCAAGATGATACACTTTATACTCACTTGCAAGAACTTGAAGTCAAAGAATTTGACTCATATCTTCATCTGCAATGTGATCCGGTTGCATGAATTGCCTGTAAACATTGTCTCAGACAGAGAATCAATCTTCACAGAAGAGTTCTGATCTGATCTGATAACTATACTGAAGATCTCATGAGATCTAAGCACAGCTTTTCATCAACAGACAGATGATCAGACAGAACACCTGATAAGTATATTAAAACAGTATCTGTGATGCTTTGTCAATTACAATCAGAATGACTGAGTGCATTGATTGTCACTCACAGAGTTCATATACAACAACTCAAAGCATGTCAGCACAGGCAAAACTCTCTTTGAGATGCTCACTGAGACTCATCCACGGATGACCTTGATGAACCCGCGAGAGTACACTATAGAGTGTGGTGATGCCTGTGAATGAGCTGAGAGAATTCAGGAGATTCAGAAGAAAGTTCATGAATTCTTGAGAAAGGCTCAAGAGTATCAGAAGAGATACTATGACTTCAAGCACATTGTGAAGAGTTTTAAGAAAGATAATAGAGTCTAGCTAAGTCTAGAAAACATCATCATACAGAGATCTAGTAAGAAGCTGAATCTCTTGTGAACAGAGTCTTATAAGATTATGAAGAAAGTTAGCTCACAGTTCTACAGATTGAAACTGTCACCTGAGTTGTAGATATACAATGTTTTTCATATCTCTTTACTCTGCAAATATAAGGAATTCTTAGAAGAGAACTCTGTGACTCATCACCCTGTTCACAAAGCACTAGAGAGTGAAAGAGAATATCAGGTCAAAGAGATTGTTGACTCAGAGAAGTGAGATTGCAAGCTCTGATTCAAGGTTCAGTGACAAGAGTATTCTGACAAGGTGAATAAGTTCACTTAAGAATCATCTGAGCAGATAAGACATCTGCAGAAGCTGAGACATGACTTTTATACTATAAATTCTGACAAGCCAGAATGACACAGTCTTCACTAAGAACCTGGTTGTGATAAAGACATTAACACTGTCATTTGCAAATCCTAGTCTATAAGATAATGAGTTTCTACTGGAATGAACAGTCTGTGATGTATGTAAGAGAAGAAGAAAACATATTCTCATTAAAGCTAAAAAACAAGAAAATAAACAGGGCTGTGAATACAATTTAGAGACCAACAAAGAAAAAACAAAGAAAACTCACACTCACATTATCAACACTCATGACACTCAATCCTCTCACAACTATCAATTTTTCTCTTTAAAGAAGCAGAGAGTATCATGTCTGCAGTACAGATAATTATTGCATTTAATGTGAAGATCATCAGAAATGCACAGACTTCAGAAAAGTCAGACATCAGAGTATACATAGTTGCAGCAGAATCTTGAAGACTGGTCATCTGTGCATGTGATCAGATACTTCTCATGAAGCTGTGTTCACTCTCTCAGTTGTGCTGAAGTATTCAGCCTGAAAACAATGAGAACATAGAGAGAGAGCTCATCTGCCCAGGCCAACTCTCATCACAAATTCATGACATTCACATTGCCTTGATTACCCAGATTTTGCAGGTACTCAGAGACCCATCTCTCATTGACAATGAGATTGTGGAAATGCACCACGGCGCGAGGACCATTGACAGGAAATCTAGGCATATTTGCATATGCCTGGTCAGAGATTGTGCAGGCAGAGAGAAGGTGATTGTAGGCCTGCGGAGCTGCAGAAGACACTGACAACATCAGAAGCTTTGCAAGAACTGTCAGCTAGAGTCTGTAAGAAATTACTTATAAGAAGACTTACAGCAAAGAGAGAGACTGCACTGCTTGAAACCAGGGGCTGGGCCTGAGAGAGGAATGAGATGGACCGCTGGCCTGAAGATCAGGTGCAGTGGCAGGGCTGAGAGAGATAAAGGCACAGTTATGAATGACAGCATCCCTGCTTCATCAGCCAGTAAAAAGCAACTGAAGGAGTTGCAGAGACACTCACAAGAAGCTCAGCAGCAGTCAGACATTATTTATAAAGATGTTGAAATTGAAAAAATTTTTATTCTTGAGAAGTTCTTGAATCAATACATGAACATTGTTAGAAACACTCTCTCTCTGTCATCTGAGTAAAATCACTTTGCAGATGAATAAGAATACTCACAGTTTATAAGAATGAGAGCTGTTACAGAAAAAGAAAAAAGAAGATGAGGTTTCACAGACAGATCTGAGATATTTATACTACTCTAGAGAGGTTTACTTGCACTGTGAGTGATTCTGTGAAACAGTCAGATCACTCTAGTAAACAAGAGTGATTGTGAATCACAGACCTGAATCTTTCTATATGATTACAAAGAGTGATTGCAGACTGCAGATATCTTGATTCTACAATTCTACAGAGTTAATGAAAGAATGAAAAATTCCTCACAATTTTACAGTGTCAAAGAGCAATGATTTGTAAGAATGAATGAAAGATCAACTCATGAATATTTCTCTTTGATGAGAATGATCTCACAGAGAGTGATTCACCTGCAAGATAAATCTGTGTAATGATCATACAAGAATCTTATGAAAATGATTGAGAGTCAATCAGAACTCTTCTGTATGAAAGGTGTGAGATGAATCTGTATGATAGTCAGAGAAGAATCTGTAGATTACAAAGAACCTCACAGAATAAGAAACTGAGTGACAGACTCTTTTCTCTTTATAGTAACAAGGGATTTTTCCTCACTGAGATTTTTTACAGATATGAAGAGTTTTTAGTGAGTATCACTGCAGTGCTGAGCTGACTATGAAGTCACTCAGTGAAAGGCTTTGCAGATGAAGCCTTAGAGAGGGAGAGATATGTAAGAAATCCCACTTCTTACAGATTCTTTATCTCTATTCCTATCTCTCATGTAATCAATAGGGCTAGCAGCCCTTGACTACACACAACTATATAGACTGGAGTTCACGAATACTATTCACAACTCAGCTTGAATGCTATTATACATTTAACCTCTACATTTATCTTCCTATCACAAACACTTCTAGTAGTTGACAGTACATATCACGCCAAGCTGCAAACACCCGAATAATCGCCTGCGAGCACTTATTCTTACAAATTCTGAAGAGATTTCTCAAGATGATTAAGAAAAGATACATCAAGTACTTACTTAGTAAGTCAATGAAATCAAGAATAAGTTCATTACTACCTACTGTATTCAATATAGATGTCACTCTCTTAAATAATATCAAAGATCAATTGTGTAAGAATCTATCAGCTGATTTAATCTTGAGAAAGATCTATTGTAAAGTGATGTGAGAGAGAAAATATTATTCATTTACACTTCAAGATAATCTTCTGTTCTTTGTCAACAACTGTCTCTGTATTACACAGATCTTAGCAGGAGATCTTATCTGCATATGTTATAATACTATCAGACACTCAGATCTTCATCAAATAGAAGATATTATACACTAATTCTTCTTCTTATCTCATGCTTGTAAATGAATTCTTGATCACATCTTATATTATCTTAATTGTCAACTGTCTAAGCTGTTAAATCACTCTCAGTGAGGGAAATCACATCTCATCTCATTCTTAAAAGAATCATTTGAGATTCTATCAATCAATTTTATTACAGAATTACTGATAAGCTGTAACGTGGCAGAACCGAAGTGATAACTAGTTAGCAGTGTCATATAGAGATAGTTGTTTGAGAAGCTGTATAAGTAAGCTTGACTATATTGCTTAAATAGTGAGCTCATAGGCTACAGAGTTATTGTAAGAATATCACAGATATAATACTTAGTATACTAAGAAGATTGTATGAGACACACAGTAACTCTTATATATATTTCAGTAGAAGAAAAAGACAAATCACTGACTTCTTTGATAAGAAGCCAGCATCTAGCTATTCTATATAGATAATGAATGAATACTCTTCTCTCATTTCATGAGTGAGAATAGCTGAAGTGATATCTCAGCAGTGTCTCATTGTTAAGAAAGAGTAATCTGCTGATCTCATATAGAAGTAAGATTCTTATACTCATCAATCAGATCTTTCTATGATATATCTGAATAATGTCATAGAGTAATTGAAAACTGGTTTGAATAAGATGAAATTATTCATATAAAAGCAATGAGCTGTGTGAAACTGTAATAAGATCTTGATACAGCTGAGAGTATGATAATACTCTTCTCTTTAAGAGTATAGTCTCTATACTCTTAAGATTATTGAATTAGAAATTATCTTTGTTGTATAGCAATGATTATCAATCATTTGACAGTGCATGTGCTGTGTATGATATAAAGATAAGTTTTTCTGCTAACTGCATAGATCTTTCTTTTCTCATCTTCATTTAAATTAAATGTGTGATAAGTGAATTCCTTATATATCAATTTAAAATGTGAAAAATATAATTAATAAGTGACTTACAGATCTTTCAATATATTCTATTCTACATATAAAATTCTCTGCAAAAGTGATGTATTTTAGAGACAAAGTTAATAGTAGTAGCAGGATTTTTTTGAAAAGATCTCTCTCTCTTATGACACATTTTTCTCCTCTCTTCCTCATCTGTAATAGTGAGTGCATGAGAGCATTATTCTTGAGAGATAATAAGAGGCTTATTCTGATGTTTTCTAGTGAGTAATAAACATCTTTGTGGTGCGGCTGCGGCCTCTGTGACTGTTAAGAAAGCCAGGTTGAAGGTGAAGACAGTGTCAATGAGCCGCGGAAGCACTGCTCTTATTGTCACATTTTCTCCTGCTTCTCTCACAGCTGTGATAGTAGTTGTCATACCTTGCAGTGAGGTAATATCTCTTCTGCTAGCTAATGTGTCTGTGTTCAGTTTATCTTCTGCTCTTCTTATCACTGTTGTAACATTACTTCTCTTCTCAGTTAATACAGTGATATATGACTCTGTGTGATCATTCAGAGAGAAACCTGAGAAGAGCTTGATTTCAGAGATAGTAATTTTAAGAAGCTCAATCTGTAGTTTCTCTTCTACAGCATATCTGAGCTCTGCTTAAGATGATACTAAGTTGAGTCTGCAGAGTTCTGTGATTTCTTCATCTTCTCTCTGTAAGAAGGCTTCAGTGCAGCTTCTGACTGACACTACTATTTATCTATACTGTGTTAAGCAGCTGAAGAAGAGAGGAATTCTATGCATCTACTTCTTCTCTTACTTCTATTATTTCTATTATATCTGCAATAATGACTTCTATCTTTCTGTAAGTATTATTTACTCTACAAGAAGATATCATATCAGCTCTGACAAGAAGCTCAGATACTTAAGTAGTACAGAGTGAGAATCTCAGAGCTTTAAGTATTAACAGATTCTATCAAGACTGAGAAGATCTTTCTTACTTATCTATAAAAGAAGATGAAAGTATAAATCTTCAAGATAAAAAAATATCTCAGAATAGCTGACTCTAAGAAGAGATTAGTCAGTATTACTATTAGAAGCACTATAGAGATTAATCACTGATTAAAGAGAATCTTACTTCAATTAAAGTAGATAACTGAGATACTTTATAAATTGATAAGTTGATACTTTTGTGATTCAAAGGTTGCTTAAGCCAGCGTACGATTACAGGCGTACGCCGGCTTCTTATATTGTAATCTCATATGCTAAATTAATTAGTGTATGCTATGGCCCCTTTACACTCGTACGCGTACGCTAGTAGTTCGGAAGCGGCCGCGGTATTATCCGACGGTCGTACATTCTTCTGAACCACATCCTCCCCCACCAGATTCAGTCACGCTCATGTGACCATGTCATACACCCTAGCTTCATGCGGATTAGCTCGCCACTAGTGTTTCACAATTGTGTGGCCTATCCCTGATTCAGCTAGCATTCTGTGTACACTCTCACAAAGAAACTTTCACTATATTACATCACTCATTCACTAACTTTTCTCATTCTTCAATCATCTTCTTCATTCCATCATCATTGAATGCTATCATCATTCAAGATTTCTACTCCTTCTTCTATTCAACTCTTTCTATCTGTTCACCTATCACATCATATACATTTCTGGCAATGACTCTCTATTCTCACAACAAGTGTTATTGTAGTGCTCATACTGAGCAGTTCATTAGCAGTAAGTGTAATGCATTGTGAAACATGGTCAGAACTTGTTTATCTTCTAACAATTGTCAGAATGTACTATTATGAATGACACACCTTCTTCAACTTCTTGTACATTCTCTTCACCTTCTTATACACTCTTGACTGTTTCTCTCTCAGCGGGTTTCTGATCATGTTTTCTGACACAATTTGTGTGGACACAGATGCTGATATGTTTGTTTTTATTCACATAGAATCTTCACATGTTGACAGATCCGCATTCATCAATGATAGTGAACTTAATGTTAAATCATTGATCAAGAACTTGAAGAACATGATAATAAAGGAATTGTTCATGCCATGTGTGGCTGAGTCTTCCGCATCCCTCTCTGCCTCCTCTGTTCCTTTCTCTGCCACTCTCCCTCAATCTTCTACACCTGTTCCTGTGTCTGGTTCTCCCGCTTCTGCTACCCCTGTTCCCACAACCCTCACTCCTGCTACTCCTGGTTTTGCTATCTCTGCTTTTGTTACCAGCTCTCTCCATTTCAAGAAGATGTTATGTAGACTTAATGAACCACATCTTTCAGCATATACACTCTCATCCTTCTTATCAACTTCTAGAATGATTTATTACATGAAGATAGTATACAACACAACTATCTGAAGCTCAGTTGTGAATGTCAATTATTATATTCATTTTAAATATTCATGGTGAGACAATCATTCATTTGTATCAGAGAATCATCCTCTCTCTTAACAGTGTCTAGATTGTAAGTCTTTTTATTTTTCATCTTTTTCTTCTGACACTGATTTTCCTGTTCTTAGAAGAAATTGTTATGAGTTTTACTGTGCACAAAGTCATGATGTTCACAGATATCAAGAAGCTTTTTACAACTGTAAAGTTCAACATTGCAGGGACATTCACTCTAACAAATTCTTTCAGAATGATAGATTCATATCAGCCTATTCTCTGATATCTGTTGTCTGACTTCATGATGCAGGCAAAAGATATTCATGTTTTCAGAAACAGGAATGCAGATGTCATTCTCTTTTACACCCGCGGGTGTGAGGCTTGTACACCTTGTCTGAAATGTTGTCATTATTATTATTATTATTATTATTCTTCAATTATAGATGTATGCAGTCAGAGACTATGACATCTACCTGAGAACTTTAGTTCTCAGGGTTTTTTCTATGTCTGTAAAGTTAACTATTGTACATTCATCAATTTCAGATATGCAAAATCAGAAAATTCCAGCCCAGAATACAAAAACTGTTTACAAATTGCAGTGTTTTAACCTCTTTTGATACTTTGTAACCATTTGACAATATCATGACAAAAGAAAAGAGAGAAAGAACACAGTCTCAAAGATAGACACATTAAATAGATAGATAGAAAGAAATTGAAAGAAAAAGATACAGAAAAAGAAAAAGTAAAGAGAGACTATAACAAAACAAATTCTTAAAAGAGAGTGTATAGCTGTTTTAACAGACTATATCTGATTGATTTCCTCCTCTTCATATTCAGATAATTCTGAATTTAGCCATTTTCTTGTAGCTGCTTGAGTTTCTGATAGAAAGTCTATTAAGTATTTAATTCCTGTCTCAGTTGAGAATAAGAATCTCATATTTAATTGATTTAGATCATACTTCTCTTTCAATCTGGCTCTGAGACTATTGTATAATGCACAGTGCATTATAATATGCTCAGGATTCTCATTTGTATTGCAGAATGAGCATTCTATTGAGTCAAATCTATCATCAAATCTTTGTATATAAGATTTGAAATAGCCATGTCCTAGTTTCAGCTGTATTATAGATGAGAATATTTTCTTTTTACATTTAATTGAACAAGATTTCCACTTGGGTTTTGTTTCAAATCTTGAATAATGTATACTCTTCTTTTGTTTCTGCCAGCTTTCATTCCACTTGTCTAAACAAGATTCTTTTATTTTTCTCTTTATAAAAGACCAGGACACAATTTTTTGAATAGATCTGCTTAATTCTGCACCCTTTTTTGCAGCTGAATCAGCCAATTCATTGCCATGAATATTCATATGAGCAGGAACCCAGTGCAGATGAATTCTCAGCTTTGATGTTCTTCTCTCTTGAATTTTTAAAACAGAGTTTAAGATCAGTTCAAGATTCATTTGACCATTATGAATCTGACTATTTCTAAGTCTTTTTAAAGCAGCTTGACTATCAGAGAATATCCATGCCTCTTTCAAACAATTTCCTCTTTTATGAGATTTTATTTCAATGAGTTTGAAAGCTTTCACTATTGCAAATAGTTCAGCATCAAAGACTTCACATTCAGAGCCTAGATTCCAGAAATCTGAGATAAAATTAATATTATCTTCAGTATAAGCAATGCCTGCGCCCAATCTGTTCAAGTTCTCATTTTTTGAGCCATCTGAATAAATCAGAATAGAGTCTTTTATATTGATTGTAGAAATTCTCTTCAAATGCTGTTCATATTCTTTCTCTTTTGATAGTTCACTTATTTGTAAGTCTATAAGAGATTCAAGCTTTTTTCTCCAGGGAGATAACTTCTCATGATCAACTTTTTCAACATTTAAAGAAGAAAATTGATTTTTAATCAGAGAGCATAGTCTGTACAGTTGAGAAGGCATTTTCTTTGAAGAATTATTTTCATTCCAATCAAGAAATCTATTCCAATCCAGTTCATTTCCAGAGTTAATTGGTGGAAATGAAGAAGAGACTCTTTCTCTGATTATATGATTTGAGCTCATCTTTACAACTCTCAGAGCATAGTTCATACAGGCCTTTTCAAATCTAATAGTAGGAGGAGGAATTGAAGCTTCAATTTCCATTGCTTTAATAGGAGATGATTTAAATGCTCCCAGAATTCTTCTCAAGGCTCTGTTTTGCAGACTTTGAAAGAGTTCAGTGAAATTCCCTTGATTATTCCACCAAACTTGAACTCCATAATCAGCTACTGATGTAATACAGGCTATATATAACTGTCTCATAGCCTGGAAGGATAGACCCCTCTCTGTATTTGATAGTCTGATTATGTTGTTCAATAGTCTTTCTGCCTTGACAGTTCTTTGTTGAATGTGATATTTAAAATTCAACTTGGAGTTTAACCATACTCCTAACCATTTGACATTTACACTGGGTTTAATCTCTCTATTTAAAAGAGTTAGAGATAGTTCTTTCTCATTGAATCTAGGAAAGAAATGAATTAACTCAGTTTTATCCATATCAAATTGAATTTGATTGATATCTGCTCTAACAAAGATTTCCTTTGCAGCTTCTTCAATTACTTTCAAATTCTCTTTGATAGTTTTTGAGCTGTAGACTAGACCAATATCATCCACATAACTCGGAGATCGCACTATTCTCATATTTCTATTTTTGAATAGATATGCAGTGTATATTGCAAATAAAATGGGTGAGATTGGAGACCCCTGTGGTACTCCTATTTTTATCTCAGTCTTGTCTTGTTTCATTCCATCAAAGAAGAGTTGTATAATTCTTTTAGACATAAAACAGTTAACCCATTTTATTAGGGAAAGAGGCAGTTTTAATATCTTCAATGTCTGAATTAACTTTGACTTTGAAACATGATCAAACGCTCCTTTTATATCAATAAAAACTGCAGTTGAGACCAGACCCTCATGCTTTGCTATTTGAATATCATGAACAACTGAGAGAACAGTGTCAATTGCAGAACACTGTTTTCTACCTCCCATTTGTTCACTGAATAAAAGAGAATCATCTATAGAGCTTATAAAAGATAGTCGAGTAGCTATTATCTTTTCTAAAACCTTTCCTAAACAGTTCAATAGAGATATTACTCTATATGACTTAGGAATTGAAGTTTTTCTATTAGGTTTTGCAAGAATCACTCCAGTGGCTTCTCTCCAGCATTCAGGATGATATCCATTTTTCAAGAGATTGAAAAAGAGCTCAAAATATTCATTCTTTAAGTAGGAATATGTATTTTGAATAATCAAGTGATTAATTGAATCTGGACCTGCAGCAGTTTTAACAGAACTTGAGAAGATAGCTGACTCTAATTCATCTTGTGTAAGATCAGGCCATTCCCAGTCATTTTCATCAATGTAGTTGAGAAGTGATATATTCTCTTCCTCTGAATCTGAATCTGAATCTGGTGAGTTCTGAAAGAGAATTCTCATGAAAGCTTGACATTTTTCCTCAAAAGAGTTTGCTGTATATGATTCATTCTGAAACTCATATTCTAGAGCTGGAAGTTTTGCTACACTTCTTGTTTTAGTATAGTTAAAAGCTTTAAAAACTTCCTTCCCTTGTGCTTCTTCAAGAAATTTATTCCAGCAGTCTGTTTTAGCTCTTTTAATATCTGAAAAATATTCATTTCTGACAGTTTTGAACTCTTCATCAGATATTATATCATTCTTCCAATCTCTTCTAGCAGTAGCTAATTCTTTTCTTTTAGATGAGATATTCTCATTCCACCAAGGTTTTGAATACTCAGAAGATTTTCTTTTTGGAATATTATCTCTAACACTTGTTAGAATGATAGATGTAATAAGCTTCACTCTATTCTCAAGCATTTCATTTGAGATATCTTGACCAGAATTCCAATATAGCTCATTCTGTCTTTCAGATTTTAACAGTTTTATGCTTTCTTCAACTGCTTTCCAATCAGCTTTTTCAAAGTTATACTGATTAGAGAGAAGAGGATTTTCACTCATTTGTTTTTCACTCAGTTCAATATCAAATTGAATAATCTCATGACCTGATCCTGATGTCTCATTTGAATCAATAAACCAGTTTACAAGTCTTCTTTCCATTAGATTTTGTGACATGAATGTTAGATCTATAATAGACTTCTGTTTCATGCCTTTTCTAAAGAATGTTTGTTGATCAGACTTATTAACCAAATCTATTGAATGCTCAAAGGTCCATTCAACCAGATTATCAGCTCTCACTGCTCTCTTGCATTCTGAATTCCACCAGAGATGATGTGCATTGAAATCTCCTGCAATTATAGAGTTTCTTGATGAAGTTATGTTCAGAAATCCTCTATCAATTGTCCAGATATTGTTATTTTCCTTCAATGACTTTTCATTATAGATATTTATGAGCTGTATAGTATCAAACTCATTTTCTTTATCTATAATATCACCCACCAGAATATCAGGGTCAGACATGATATCAAATCTTAGATTAAATTGATATCTTGATCTCTTTCTTCCATAGATCACTACTCTTGACTTTATCTCAGACTTTTGAGGTAAAAAGCAGTAGTAGCTTGAATGAGAAATGACATATTTTTGCTCAGCATCAAAATTCGGCTCCTGAAGCAGTACAAAATCAACTTTTTGTTCAAATGCAATTTGAAGACAAGAATAAATGCAATTTGAGTTTCTATCCACATTATTTTGAATAAATGTGATTTTTGAAGAGTTTTTAAACTTTTTTTGTTGTTTTTGTTGTATATTCATACTAAAAGAGAGTAGAGAAGAATCTAATCACTATCATCAGATAGTAGATTATAACTGTTCTGAAAAGTAGGAATCTCAACTGCTTGCATTATATCTAGTTTATCACCAGAGTCATTTCTCAATTCTCTAATCTTAACAGAAGTTTGAGAATTCAAATTCTGTTTACATTTTGCTGGAGAATTGGAGTTTGAAGACTTAGATAATTGAGAGTTTCTTCTTTTTGAGCTTGCAGTTGTGAGTTTACTGGCTTGACTCTTCTCTTCAGTTCTAGATTGACTTTGAGCTTCATCTTTTCTCCAGTTCTTTTGAGTTCTAGGAGCAAACATACATTCTTTAGAGCTAGATGCATGTTTTTCTTTACAATTAGAGCACTTAAGCAGAGTATGTTGACAAATTTCACCTCTTTTTGAGCATGTTTCACATTTATGCTCACTAGTTTTGTGATCTCTGGCACAGAATGCACATTTTGAGTCTCTAAAACATGAGATTGCAAAGTGTCCATATCTTTGACAGTTTGAACACTGTGTTTGAGCTTTGAGATTCACTCTTGAGTCTTTGTATTCATGAACTCTCATTTTCAAACCTGCTACTCTTACTTCAGAGATCTTTGACTGTTCAAGGGTTTTTGTATATACTAGAACAGAGGCATTTCTCCTGCTTTGTCTGAACTCAATTGAATTTAGCCATACAGGCTCCTTTCTCAGTTGAATGGAGTTGTATTCTTCCAATTCATTTTTGAGAAGTAGCATTCCTTCTTCACAGTCAAAAATTTCAACTGGAATATCATGAAGAATGAATTTGCCCCACTTTTCATCTCTTTCAGATAGAATTATTGTGTTTAGCAATGATTCTACTGCTGACTTCCAGAGATTCTCATTCTGAATAAGGAATTCAGCACTGAATTCAGGCATTGTAGTCAGAATAATAGAGTTTCCAAAGAATAATGGCTCAATTGAAGCTATAACTGGTTTTTGAACTTCAATATCAGTCATCAACTGAGAAAAGAACTGCTGATTAATTTCATTTCTGATTCTGAAAATGAGATTTGAGTTTAGCTTGTTTCTTTGCAGAATGTCCTGGTTTGAGACTTTGAGAATGAGTCTTCTATTTCTAGAGATTTGAAAGTTTTTCTCTTTTTACATTTTCTTTTCCACTTTTCCATGAATAGAGGCATGAGCAGTATTCTTCTCAGTTTTCTCAGGATTTTGAGCAGGTTTTGAGACAGCAGGTTTAGAGACAGCAGATTCAGCTGCTTGAGCATATGTTTTCTTCTGATTCAAAGAAGAAGAAGGAGTAGGAAGAAAGGAAGAAAAAGAGTAAGATGAAGAGTCAGTGATTGTACTAGGAATTTTCAAGGTTTTTTGAACTGTGTTTGAGATTCCAAGTTTGAACTTGATCACCTCCTGTAGTTGTCTGGCCTGAGCATGAAGAATTAACAGAACTTCTTCATTCATCTCACTCAGACACTGCTTTCCAAGAATCTTGCTTGCTTTTTCAAGTTCCTGTATTTCAAGAACTTGTTGTTTCTCTATTTCTTCTTTCTTTCTTCTCTTCAGAATTTCAATCTCAGGAATAGCATTTGAGAAAGCATCTTTTTCCACATCAACTGAGTGTATTTTTGAACTCATTGTTTTCACTCAATGAAAAGTTGGTCAGACTGTTTCAATTGAGATATTTCTAAGTCTGTTTTCAATTGAAAAGTTGGTCAGACTGTTTCAAAAGAAGAATAAAAGACTTTTGTGTATAAAACACCTGATTTTTTTCACACTAGTTCAGTAACTAGGTTAGATTTTTGAAGAGAATCTAATAAACTAAAATTGATTTTTAAGATAAATCAATAAAATCTTTACAATCTCTTTCTTGGGATACAGTGAGGAAAAGTATGATATCAATTGATAATAAATCAGATGATATGACAGTTTTTGAGAGAAAAACTGACAAAAAATAAATCAATTTTTTGCAGAGAAATTGATTAAAACTATTCAATTTTATTCTAAATCATCCAATTCTCCTCACACAACAAGTGTGCAACTCAAATCAGTTAATAAAGAGTGTAAAAAAGAATTAAGTATTAATGAAAGCTCTTCAGCCACTGAAATAGTAATTCTTACTTAAAAGAATATGAAATTATGACAGAAAACAACTCTGTTTTTAATTCTTTGTAAGAATATTGTGTAAAACCCAGAGAAAAACACCTTACTTTTTCAAGAGAAGTAAAAAACTATTTCTAAGATCTTTTTTTTTTTTGCATTAACTGCTGCAGAAGAATGAGATAGAAACTGCTAAGATATGCACTACTGTATACCCCCTACCAAGACTTTCCCTCTTCAGGGTCTTGATATTATAGAGAATATAAGTCTGTTTCTATATGATAATATAAATATTGCCAGCGGGATGTAGAGGAACTGGTTATTTATATCTCAAAATAGAAGACTTTGTCAATGATTATATCAATATAGAGTTAATTCTCAAATTCAATAGAAACCTAGTGTTGCTGTTCTCAATCCCTTGCAGAATCTATTGAATATTGAGGTATTAAAACTAGATTTAATATATCTCACTGTGCAGGGATCAAAGGCTCAGTCAGACCTTGAGGTATACTGATTTTATAGTTGTTGATGTGCTGTTGACTCGTTGTCCACTGGTTATGTATTGAATACTGTTGCCGAGGTATCTTTTTGTATCGTTCTGCTGGGGATGGGCCAGATTGAGAGGGGTAGTACAGGGGTGAGACTTGGTGTTGAAGTCTAGATACACTGGCGGCGGACCGTGGAGGTTGCACTTCAGAAGAGTCCGTTGATTATGTGCTTGATATTATCGCCGAGGTATCTTTTTGTATTTTTCTGCCGGGGATGGGCCAGATTGGGAAGGGCGGTACGAGGGTGAGACTTGGCGTTGGTGTTTTGGAACATCAAAGATGGACAGGGTTTTCGCGGAGGTCGCTCCTCGGATATCTCCACAACTACAGGTCGGGGGTCTTCCAAAATCGAGAAGATTGGTGCATATGGCTAGGTCACTTCACCTTACAATTTGTATGGCACTCTGGCCCGGGGTTGTGGTGTGGTAGGGGAGAACGGGGGATAATCCCACACAGGAGCTTCGAACAACGTCCGGTTCACGTTTGGCTGGATAACTCCACCACCACACGGGGTATGCGGTCGGCGATGGGGTCAAAGTGCTCGTATGATCGAGGGCTTTTCGATGGATCTATCGGCGGGTTCTTATTCGAAAAATCGAGCGAGTTCGTGGTGGAGCGGTTGGAAATGTTGTCATGGGAATGAGCTGTTCGCATGCTGTGTTCTGCTTCCTGCATTCCCTCATATCTCTCTCTCTCTTCCTGAGGAGCCTCGTGTGTGTTGTAATTGCATGTACAATTCTAAGGCCAGCAGATGTTCATTCAGTAACTGTTCCCACCCCTGATTCTGCAGTTTCATATACTAACAATAGTTCTTAGTTGCTTCAGCACCAGAGGCCATTTTAATCAAAGATAACAACATTACTGAGACTACTCTCTTCCACTCTCAAGCTTCTCTCATCACTTTCTCTCCCTTTTCTGCAGAGAAGGTTGTGCACATATCAGATTGTAAGCATTCAGCTTCAGATGACTCTCACTGTCATTTGTTCAGTCCTGCACCTTCTCCTTCTGTTTCTTCTGCCTCTGTCCTCCCTGCCCTGACTCCTGGTCCTGCAGGTCCTGCGCTCTCCTTCAATTTCTCTACACATATGTGTATACATTCCTATATTGGCATTCCAGTCAATCTTGTGATAAATGACATTAATATCATACACAGAGCAGTAGAGGAATCAGAGATATGCACAGTATTATTATAAGAATGGCTTGCAGCCCTCAAATCTCTTACAGATCTTGAGTTTTGAGATTTCCTTTGTTTTTGATGTTTTTCAGGTGATGTGGTGTTGAAAATAGATTAAACATGTGACATATAAAAATGAATGAGATGTGTATGATAACATTTGTCTTTTTACAGCTAATTCTTACAGTTGATGATCAATTCATTATCTCTTTTCTTTTTCTTACACTTTTTCTTTATCTGCTAGTCACTACTCTTACACAACCTCTATATAATACAGTGTTCAGTGACTAGGTTCAGCAGCTTTCATCTTTGTAATTCTGTCTCATGCATTATACTGTCTCTCTTCACCCGCTCAGATCACTACAGCAAACAGCTCATCAAAACTAACCTCATCTGATCTCTGAGCATTCTCAGAGATTGAGATAACTTGGTCTCATGCATTCACAGATGTTTCAGATAGTTCATCCTCTGTGATCTTCACAATTGAACTGATGTAAACAGTCAAATTCAACTCTGAATTCCTTTTTCTTCTGTGACCTGACTCATATGCAAGTCTGCCACTTTGAGACCACTCTTTGTCATGTTGCACCTACTGTCTGCAGCATGTTATTATACAACTAGCTACAGTCTCATCACTTATTGAAGTGTGATGTTCATCTGATTTCTTCATTTCTTCCCATTCTTTCCTTGTAATTATGGAAAGATCAGAATAAGTAAGATCATCTGATTTATAAGTGTCTATGATTTCTCTTACTTCATGAGACTTTTCAATTGTAAGTCTCTTCTTTTTCAACACTGACAATAGTGCTGTAGATAATCATAATTCACTCAGATCTTACACTCTTACTTTCATAAGTTATGAATCATTGATTAAGTTGTATAAGACTCATTTCTCTGATTCTTCCAATGTGTACATTCTCAGAGAATGTGATTTGAGTATTTTATATGACTTAAATCACCTAGATTAAAACTTCTCAGAACTCTCATTGTGTATAAGAACTCACATTCTCATCTTGAGACTCAATTCCTTAACAAGTGAGTCTCATATTCTTTTCAATTGAATTGCTCAGTTCAGGAGTAACTCATTAGCTTTTGCATGTGCATAGCTGATCTCTTTCAATCTTGGTTTCACATCTGCAACTGTTGCATCTGCAACTGCTGTTTCCTTTCTCATCTTTTCCAAAGCATTCTTCAGAATGCGCGGATGCAATTCATACAACAGGTAGAATGATGAACACTTGGAGACTGCATACTGTTGAATCTGTGTGGTCAATAGCACCTGCCTGAGATATTCATCTCATAGTCTCATAGACTTACCCACTAGATATTTCATCAGCATGTTGCTCAAGATTTCATTCAAGTGTTCCACCTTCTCATTCATCCGCGGATGATATGACATTGTTCTACAATGTCTTGTCTGTAACTGGCTCACAAAATGCCTCATCACTTCTCCTACAAGGTTCACATCATTATCAGTTAGAATCTCGCGCGGCATTTCATAGTTGACATAGATCTCATCATGTAGGAACTTTGCCATCACCTTCTCTGTCACCTCTGGAACTGCTTTCATGACTGACCAGTCAGTAGTGTAATCAATAGCAGTGATTATTCATCAATTTTCATTTAGCATTCGCGGCAATATGTCTATGAGGTCCATCTCTCATTGTTTGAACAGTTGTATTATACACTTCATCTGATGTTATGCTTCTTTGCATTCTAATCCTTTCTTAGATTCTTTCACAACCTGGTAATTCAGGCACTTGTGAGTATACACCTGAATGTCCTCGGCCATGCTTGGTCAGTACACTCTTGGTTCAAGTACACCCATGAGTCCAGGGCTTTCTAAGTGACTGAATTCCTTGTGCATATGAGCCACCAAGTCACATCTAAATGAAGGTTCTAGATAGAGAGCTTCTGCATATCCTAGATCACAGTAAAGCACAACATCATTTTCATTTCTCAATTTCCCCAGCTTGAAGTTTGAAAGCATCTCTTCTACTACTCTCACAAGATGCTTATCATTCAACACCTTGTCATTCTCCAAGTGAGAGATCATAGTGTTCACTCATTCTGATTCCTTGCATCCTCTCAGCACATTTAACATGAACATCTCTTGTGCCTGGTTCACAGAACCCTCACTCATGAAATCAGGTCTGCAACTGATTGCATTCAGCATCACTGTGTTCAATCCCTTTTGATATTTGATATGAAGATTGTACACTTAAAACTCTGAGATTCAACATACTAAGCATTTGAAAGGTTTTATCATTGATTGTAGATAGATGAGACTTTCATGATTCATGATCACTGTTGTCATATGCCTGTTGTCAATATATCTATCTCATAACACCAGTGTGTGCTTGATCACTAGCAATTCCTTTTCATGCACTGAGTAATTGAGCTCAGCGCTTGATAGTTTCCTACCATTGTATGCCACTGAGTGCAGCTTGCTGTCCTTGTCCATCTGTAGAAGAGTGTCTCTGATAGCTTATTTGAATGTGTCTGTCTTGATATAGAAAGGTTTATCACAATCTGGTTGAATAAGCACTGAGAATGTTATTACACATTTTCTCAGTGTGAGAAAAGCCTCTTCACACGCAGCATTTCAGATGATTGAATGAAACTTCTTCTTTCACAGATTTGTATCTGTTTCTCTTAAGAGATCTGAGAGTGATGCAGATATTCATGTGAAATCCTTGATAAACCTGCAGTAATATGAGATCAACTCAAGAAACTGTTGTACATGATGTACATTCCTCAGCCACAGTCAATTCACTATGACATTCAATTTCTCTGAGATGGGGTGTATACAGCCATCACTCACTACATGTCTCATGAACTCCAACTCTTCCATTCTAAACACACACTTGGTTGATTTGATGTAGAGCTTATGCTCTGCCAGAGTTGTAAGCACTTCATCAAGATGCTTCAGATATTCATTGTATGAGTTTGAAAAGACTAGAATGTTATCAAGATATACAAGGCATGAGGTTTTATTCTATTTATAAAGGATTGTATTCATCATCATTTGAAAGATGACAGGCACATTTGTCAGACTGAATGACATTGCTAGGAATTCAAACTTCTCTCATTGCATATTAAATGCAGTTCACAGGACTGACAGTTTGTCTACACAGATCTGCCAGTATTCTGAGAGAAGATCAATCTTCAATAGATATCAGGCATTTCCAACCATATTTAACTGTTGTTGGATTCATGGCAGTGAATATTCATTCTTGATCATTAGCTTGTTGAGTGCTTGATAATTAATACACATCTGTCACTCTTCACTCACCTTTTTCATGAATAGAACTGAAAAGCCTCACACACTTGATGAGAGTTGTATGAGACTACATTCTAGAAGATCAGTGATCTGATGCTTCTGTTCTTCAAGGTGCATTTATGACAGGGAATATGCATTCTGATTGACTGGTTTTGCATCCCCCATGTCAATCTCATGTACAAATCCTCATTCCGGCGGCAATTCCAGTGAAAGGTCTGTTTGAAAGACCTTTTCATGCTTCTTCAGAAGCTTCTTCATACACTTGTCCTCTCACATATTCTTTATCTTAGTTTCCTCCACTTCCAGGTCCTGTATGACATACAGGATGCTTTCAGATGAGGTCTTGTGAATCATTCTCTTTGCTTGTTGATGTGTAAGCAGATTTAACCCTTCTATATCAGAGACATGGAATGTCCTTCTCATATCAGTTGATAGGATTGTATGAACCATTTTCTTTCTATTAATCAACTGCATATGACATGTTCATCATTGAATCTGCAGATTGAATCTTTGAAATCAATCAAGTCTGAGAATAAGGTCATATTCCACATTCTGCAGCTCTCACGCCCAAATATAGCAAGATCATTCTTCAAAGTGCAAGAGAACTCTTACTCTTGCAGATGATATCAAATATCAGTTATCAGATAATCTTATGCATCAGGGATTCTTCACTCAGCAGACCTCTTTCAATCTTCAGATCATATGATCATCAATATATTGTGTAGAAGCTCCTGTGTTCACTAACACTTTTGCAGCCATCTCTCAATTCTTACTCAAGTGCCCCCTATACATTAACATTTCAGGCCTTAAGGCATTGAGATGAGTGTTCACTTCATCATTCTCACCTGCACCCCATTCAGAAGCCTGCTTCTTCTTTGCATTCACAGGATTCAGAGAGTCATCTAACACAGGCATCTCTTTCACTTTGAAGGCTTTTCATAGAATATCAGCAAGTGTCTCTGAGCTCACTGATTCTGCTAGTTTTTTGACTGCACACATTGAGTGCAATCTTTTACACCATGATTTTGGCATTCACAGTTGAAACAAGCTCAATGCTCACAACATCAAGATTTTCACCCAGAGGATCTCTTTTTCAGAGGATTCAGCACTTTAGTGATGACATTCAGATCTAGATCCATCACATCTGAGTGTGTGACTTGTATCATAGAAGTCTGATTACTCATTCTTCACTGAGACATACTTGATTGCAGTATTTTCTGTCACAATTGACTTACTTATTCCTGTACAATGAGAATATTATATGCTTCCTTTACTGTGTCTGACTGTGAGGTTAAGCATTTTCATTCCACTCTCAACTCAGGTGTAAGACCATGAATGAAGATCTGTAAACAGAAAGATGTTGAAAGCTCTTCATTCAATGCAAGATAGTATAAACTGAAGTGTGTGAAGTATGATATAAGATCACTCACTTGTCTACACTCAGTGAAGTGTTTGTAACACTTGTCTCATATATCTACTTTCTCAAAGTTGTGCAAGATTCATTTGGAAAACTCATTTCATATTTGTGAGAATGAATATCACTTCAAGTCTGCAAGGTTCATCTTTTCATCAGTCATTTATAATGACTTCACTTTTCCGCGTAGAAACGCGGCAGATCTTAAGACTTGTTGAAATTTCATTGACTGTCTGCCTGTGAGTTCATATTCAATCTGATAATATGATCATATCTGACTTAGCCAGCTGATTGCAGCATCATTTTTTCAGTTGTCATTGAAGCTTGATGACTCTGGCAGATCTCTCAGCTTGATGTATTTCATGCTCAGATTCTCATTCTGCGCAGCAGTCTCTGATGATGTGTACACTTCTGAAGAGGTTGTGAACAATTGTGATGAAACCTCCAGGTTCAGTGTAGTCACCTGTCTGTATAAACATTCAATCTCCTGCTGCAGGCCTAAGATCTGGTTTTCTCTATTCTTATTGATGATGGCAATTGTGTTGGTGAAGCTCTTCATAGTGAATACTTGATTCACAGTGAATGTCAATTGTTGTTTAGCCTCTGCCTCAGCCTGTCACTGTGTATGCAAGGCCTCAATCTCATTTAGAATCCTCATACATGTATGGAGCTTCAATTCCAGTTCAGCAGTCTCAGTCACTTTTCTTACTGCTTTGAGTAAACCCTCTGAGAGGTTCTGCATATCTTCCAGTTCAGGTAGCAGAGAAGGGTGTTGTTTGTATCAGCTAGAGAAGGTATTCATTTCAGTGATTTCTTGTTAATTGTATAATGTCTATTGTTATCACTGTATCATTATATCACTATATCACTGTATTATTATATCACTATATTGTTATATCACTATATCACTCTGTTATCATTGTACAACTCCGGTGATGATCACCTCTTCTTTTATCCTTCTTTTAAGTAGGGAGCAGACTTCTTTGAATCTGGTTCACTGCTTCCATTCTCTTTCTCACACCTCATCTGTTCACATCTCATACATGGCATTCACCTGAATGTGAAGTTTTTTCTCAACAAGTGAAGCAGCATCAATCAGATGCTCTTCTGCTCACCACTCTTCATATGCTATCTTTTGAGACATTCTAGAACCACACTGGCATGATAACTATGAATCACTTCATAGATGGAATTATCACACTCTGAAGGAGCCTGCGCTCCTCACTGGTTTTTAGACATGCTATCAGATGTGATTCAAAGGTTGCTTAAGCCAGCATACAATTACAGGTGTATGCCAGCTTCTTATATTGTAATCTTGTACACTAAATTAATTAGCATACGCTATGGCCCCTTTACACTTGTATGCGTACGCTAGTAGTTCGGAAGCGGCCGCGGTATTATCCGACGGTCGTACGTTCTTCCGAACCATACTTTAAGTATCTCTTATACTCTTCTATAGCATGCTTCTCTGTAGCACTGCAGTACTAACTTCTCAGCAGATAAAGATACTAATACTGAAGACTTCAATGATAAAGAATAAGTTTAATAAGAGTGTGATTATTGATAAGTAGACTCTGAGATTGCTTCTTTTTTACTTTTTCAGTAAGCTGTAATCTTATTAGATTAGCAGCAGTCTGTGAATTGATTAATATTAATCTTTTTATTGATTTTAAATATTTCTTTCTTTTCTTATTAACTGTTTCAGAAATTTTACACTTGTGTAGTCTTATTAAACTCTTAAAAAACTCTTTGAGAGAAAATAGAAGAAGAGTGCTACAGAGTCTATAAGACACTGACTTATCACTGTGAGATAATCTCTAAAAAATTCTTTAAGAAAAATAAGAAGTCTTTAAGTAGTATTTCTTACTTAATATCTCTGATATATATATAATAAGATAGTCTTTACTAGTCATCTTATAGCTTGCAATCTCTTTCTCAGTATTTTTCAAATACTTAAGCAGTTCTTATAAATTCTCTGATAATAAATATTCTTCTTATTTAACAAGATATTGAAGCTTGCTGTAATATATTCACTTATTCAATATTTTCTCTATAAGATATTCAGTATTACTCTTGATCTTGATATTATTCAGTCAAGATAGCTTCACTCTGAGACATTACTTATAGAGCTTTAAATAGAAAATGTGAAAAATAGAATAAATTGATTTCAATTCTGTGAGTAATTTTAACTTATATATCTACTTACTTATTACTCTTATTATCAGAAAAGATTCTAGTCATCACTCACTGAGCTTCTTACACAGTCTTATTATCTTAATATTCTTTACTAAAAATAGTACTTGATCTTCTATCAAGAACTTCATCAGAAGATATTTTCAATTATAGTATTTTATCTATTACTTCTAAGTGTAGTGAATACTTTTCACTGTCTTCTTATAAATTTTATTTAAAAGTTTCAATCTTACTTTTACTTCTAATACTGAAAAATACTTCATTCTCTATATCTGTCTGATATTCTGACTGTCTATCTCTTTCTTTGAAATGTTGTTCACAATGTCACTGAATAATGAAGAATTATATTCATAATAAGTATAAAAAGAAGATACTTTTAAGATTGTATTCTTTATATTATTATATATAAATTCAGTGATCAGAAGATGTTTGAGTTAATTATTCTGATAATATAAATAGAATATTTAAAGATACTGTTCTAGTATCTGATTTTGATATTCAGTCTGATTATCAATCTGTGAATGAAATATGATACTGAGAAGACATCTTATTATAAGATAATAGTAAAAAGCTGATCAGTATTTACTGATGAAGAGAGATTCTCAATCTATTATTAATGATTTCAGAGCACTGTGATTATAAATAATGATATCTAAAAATAGATCAGTCAATTCAGAGACTTTAATCTTTTTATAAATAGAAATATATCTGATCATCTTCATGAAACAGTCAATAATAATTAAAATTAAGTTATATTCTTTGACTCTTGTTGACTTCAGCAGATCAACTATGAAATTCATTGATAGATTCTGTTATAAGCTCTTTAAAATAGACAGTGATATCAACTCATTGTATTACTTATACTGTAGAATCTTTATTCTTTGATAGATATTATAAGTCTTAATATACTCTTTAACATCTGCTCAGAGCTTGTCTTAAGTGTATTTACATTTTAAAAGCTTCTCAGTCTTCTCTAATCTGAAGTGTCCTGCATGAGAATTATTATGATGAATTCTTAATAACTTCTAGTGCACTGCTCTGCTATAAGAGATGAAGATTGAATCATTCAGTAGTAGAAGTTTATATTCTTCTAGTTATCAGTGACTTGATTTCTTAGCAGCACTGTCTTACTCAGAGTCTGTCTCTTTCAAGTTTGAACTGAATTCTTTCTTCTTTAACTTTTGAATTCAAGCTGTAGTAGAGATATCCCTCTTCTATAATTTATTAATGAATTTCAAAAGTAGTCAGATTGAAAGATTGTAGACTGTTTCATTCTTTATTAATTCAATGATTGTAAGATATAATATAAGAAGCTCATGATCTTCAGTGTCAGTCTCTCACAGAGACTCAGATTCTTTTTCATCTTCTATACTGAGTTATACAGCTGTCTCTTCAGTGCTGTTTCTGAGCTTTAGAGAACTTCAACTCTCTGTAGTTAGCTTCTTCTGTAGTGATGATAGAGATTCTTTTGTAGAATTCTTCTCTGCATCAATGATATTATAATTAGATTATCTAGATAGTATGTTAGCAGAGTTAAGCTGATCTGAACAGTATCAGATATAGAAATCATACTCTGAAAGCAGCTCTACTCATCTGACTTGACATTCTATCAAGCTCTTTGTTATCAAGAAGTAACACAGATTTATATAATCAGTGAGAACTTGCACTGAGTACTTATTACTCTGAAGATAATATTATCAGATCTTAAAGAATTTAATAATTACTAATATCTTCTAATCATGAGTATCATATCTTCTCTGTGTGAGTGATAACTTCTTAGAGAAGAAGATTACTGATCTTTATTCACAGTGTCTTATAGACTCTGTGAAAAAGTCTTCTCTCACAGATAATTCATTATCTATTTTCTCAGAGATAATTATTCTCTGATTCTTTCAACATTGAAAGATCTTCAGTGTTAACTGTGAAAAGATTTCATAGATTTTATTTCTGAATACATCAGTCTCACACTGATTAAGTAAGTTGAGATTAAAGTGATTCAGTATTATAATATCTGTGAAAGCTTGTTTCAATTCTGCAAATATCTGTACAGTGTCTTAAGTGAGAATAAACAGTTTTATTTTTCTGTCTTTCACACTTCTCTTTAACAGATCTGTAAGAGAGACAGTAATCTGTGAATATGTATAGATGAATTATCTGTAGAAATACATAAATTCTAGAAATATCTGCATCTTGTGATATATTCACAGTGCTTATCAGTTCTCAATAGTGAAGACCTGACTTCTGTTCATTGAAATGTCATTCATCTTAATAATATAATCTAAGAAATCAATCTCCTGCATGTAGAACAAGTATTTTTCAGTGTTTATATAGAGTTAATACTGTCTCAAGTGACTCAACACTTCTTGAATATGAATATTATATTCTTTCTCTGATTTCAAGAAGATTAAAATGTTGTTCAGATATACTATATAGAAGACATTGACAAGACTCTGCAGTATCTTATTTATATAGATCTGAAAGATAACTGAAGCATTACAAAGACTAAAAGATAAAACAAGATATTCAAAATTACTGTACTTAGTATGAAAAGCTGTTTTTCAAATGTCATCTTTATTAACTCTGATTCTATGATAGATATTTTATATATCAATCTTTAAGAACACTCTTGCTTCAGATAATCAATCAATCATCTTATCAATCAATGATAGTAAATAGTAATTCTTAATCATCATCTTATTGAGATCTCTGTAGTCTATATATAGACATAGTCTATCATTCTTCTTGAGTATAAAGAGTATAGACATCTCTGCTGAACTCTTTGATAAATATATTCAGTTCTTTGATTGCACTTCTTCAAGATATTTATGCAGAACATTTAATTTCTTTACAGATAAGTTATAAAGAGATCTGTACAGCACTGTTGTATTATCTTCAAGATAAATCTTATATTATATCTTGATATCAGGAAACTTCACTGCTTTTCTTTTCAAAAAGACATTCTTAAAATCTGTAAAGAGATGTTATATATATTCATCTTCAATAACAGATACTGCTGCTAATCTTACAGTGAGAATGATGACTTCTTTATCTATTTTCAAGTCTCAATCACCTGCTATATAGTATATTAACTCAATCTTTTTCTCAAGATTCTTCTGATGAAACTCTTCAGATTTCTCTATCACTGTCTCTTCATTAGTGAGATAGTACTGTCACATCTAAGTAACTCAGTTAATAAGAGAATTGTTTTCTCTCAATTACAGAAGATTTAGAATGATATTCTTATCTATAATATTAACTGTGTAAAGAAGCAGACTGCTCTTCTTGAAGATTTCTTCTAAGTCTGTGATCACACACTTTGCTTGAATTATGTTAAAACTGTGGTTCGGGAGAACGTACGACCGTCGGATAATAACGCGGCCGCTTCCGAACTACTAGCGTACGAATGTAAAGGGGGCCCTAGCGGCCACTAATTAATTTAGTGTACGAGATTCAATATATAAGAAGCCGGCGTACGCCTGTAATCGTATGCTGGCTTAAGCAACCTTTGAATCACATCTGATAGTATGTCTAAAAACCGGTGAGAAGTGC